AACACGAATTACTAATATATTTTTATTAAGTTTAGATCTTGCACTACGACCTTCGATGATTTTCACCTACTTCTAAAACCAATTGCCCAGATTCTAATATATTTTTTTTAAGAGATAAGGTAAGGCTAATAATGAAAACTACAACAGTATAACATAGGAACATTTAGTTTATATAAATGATTATCTATAGTGTAATGATTTGCAGATTTATCTACCACTTCATATTAGTATTGAGTAATTTATTAAGATAATCAAATCTTTCTAGAAAAATTATTTTTGTACTTCAAAGTACTGCATAAATTCATGACGGTGAAATACACCAGTACGCCAGTTGCAAGTAGAATAAACTCTGACAAATTTAAATACACATACATAGCTATATCATACTATTCTAATCACATACCAAATACGTGGAATTTTGAGGAATACTGCCGCACCAATAAATCTGCGTGTTTAGTTATAGTTTCCTCATGGAAAGTACTGAGATTCAGCTAACACTTTTGCTGTTCTGCAGGTCATAGCACCCAAGTGAAAAATGCAACTCTAAACCTAAGGAAATTAAATAAATACGGGTATTCTACTCATATTACTTTTGATTTTAACCACAGACACTTTAAAGGCACCAATCTCTATTATTCTGGACAACTTAAGTTCTAGGTCCTAAATCTGGTGGTACTGGATAGACACATCCGGTCGGGTGCCACAAGTGAAACTACAGTTACTACTATTTACACTCTACAGTATCGGGTGCTGTCTACGTCTTTTAAAACTGCCATGTCTAGCTTTAAGAATATTATAACCTTATTCCCGCAGGGGTAATTATTGGTTAAAGTCTTAAAAATATATTTTAACATTTGTTTTGAAAAATATGTTAGACAAGGGTTTGCGATCATATAAAATAGCTCGCGATTGGAGATCTTATAAATCTTCACTTGATGGACAGTTTTAAGATATATCCTTTTATTGTGACAAACATAATATTCTCTTCATTAAAACCAAATCTTCTACCGCTTAAAATATCTGAAATATCTTCGCTATATCCGTGCTAATATTTTTTTTGAAATTTATATCTTTTTTTCCAATGCTTTTATGATTTCACACATAATTTATATTTACAGATTTTTAATAAGCAAATTTTTTAATATAGGGAACTATGGAGAAATATTTTATGTTTTCAATTACTTCAATTTCAACTCAAAGAGATTAGTCGGCATTAAACTTTAAAAGTGTCAAATTGATTTAAGACTTCTGAACTAATTTTAAACAGATTTCTCGTCAATTCATGTTTCTTCTCCGGTATAACACGCGTTATCCATTCAAGCTAAGCAATAGATTCCTTTTGCGTTTACGATCATACCTACTCGCAGACATCGCTTATAGGTTTTCATGCCAGATGTACATACACGTCGTACATATGCATGTAGATACATATGTATGTACATCAAAATGTATCTACTTTATATAGTATCATATGTGTAGAAGCATATAAATTCCTACAGAACATTCGGGCATCTTATTAACTACGCACAACATAACAAGAATTTTAAGTTGTAAAACGATTTTTTTACTTTTCATTATTATTATCTTCACATCTACTGGTGGCTTGTATCGCAACATACAAACTGACTACTTATTATAATTTTTGGCAATACCTCATAAGCCTCTTGCTAACGAAGTAATCATAAAGTAAAAAGAAGAAACAAATAAAAAATTAAAAATTAAAAAAAGATAAAAATTGTTCTACCAAAAAATGTATTAAGCCAATGACTCCATTAAATGCGGTTTTCTGATTTCATTACGATACATGCGTGGAGTTGTGTCTACCTCCTCGTACGGAACGGGTTTACTTATGGTTTCTATTAGCGAGATTTCCAGAAAAAAACTTCATACTTATGTATGGAATACTTATGTTGAGCAGCATTACGTCCATATAGATTCCATTGATTTTCCTTTTCCTTTACTTGAAAGAAACATGAGTGTTCTATTTTTTAATAAAAAGGATTCTGCCGAAAAGCTTCACTGGTCTGAAATGTTAAGTATTTCTGAGGTACGTAGAATCCAATCCGCACAAAATGCATTAGGAAATATCATAGTCACTCTTCTTCAAATTTGTCTTTTTTCTTCTTTTTGGGTTCTGTGTTCTGTGACCAGATATTCAATAATTTGGTTTTCGATTTGTTGGTTTGACTAAAGTACTGAAAAATACTAAAAGAAGAAATTTTAATGTAAATAGGAGGTAAAAAAAAATTTGAAGACGCCACAGAATATGCATGCCATAAGTGAAATAATTTAGTACGTGAGGCTAAGTGAAATATCTAAAAGCATAACATATTTTTGTCAGTCAAAATTAGCTTAACGACTTCGACGACAATGGAACAAATTCACTTCTCTGCTAAAGAGAAGAAATATCCAATATAATGGTTCATTTTTATAAGGAATGCGATTTTTTTATGATTTTAATGGAATGAAAGCTAAAAATTCACCGAATGGTATAATAGCCAAAGATTCAACTTATATCGTTTAACAACCATCATTTTCGCGATCATTAATATCGTGTGACTTTTGGCCATTCCTTAAGCTTGAAACACCGCTTTGGGGACAGCTTTTTGACACAATTCTGGTGATAAAAACTAAATCGAAGCATTTTTGGAAAGTAACGAAATAGATTCAAAAAAATAAATAAAGATTTTAAAAGTTATAGTCATATAAACGAATCCTATTTAATTAAAAAATTATTATGGATTACAAATTCTGACTAAAATTATAGCACATACTTACTAAAAATAGATTTAGGAGCAAATTAAAATTGTAACTTAATTGAGATAGGAACTTTTAATGGAACACAGTGATTGATTGAGTTATAATCCAAATAGTTTTGTGAGCAGGCATTATTTACGGAAGTATTCTTAAGGCTTTTCATTGCTTTTTGTTATCCAAATTCTTTGTTTGACATCTAAAGTCTGAAATAAGTTTTATTTTCAGCCCATAAATAAGAATGAAATCCTGATCCTAGGGGTTTGATGATTTAATGCTGATTCAGTGGCAAGTCTGTATAATGACATAGATTTTATAGCCCATATAGTCATTTACAAAATATAAACTATAAACTGTGAATTTGATATAAATAAGTTTGTCACACATTGCACCCTAGGTTAAAGTTGAAATGTATAAAAATTCGTAGTTGACAATGTGCAATAATGGTCAGATTTTAAAATATACTCTTCACTTCTTTTGTTATATAGTATAAAAAAAATTTTAGATGCTTGGATCTAAAATTCTTTGAAAATATTTAACCGTTACATTACTCTGTATTCAAGACTTGGATTTTGATCTTTTTACAGTGATATTTTTTTTAGCTAGTGGTTTATCAATCTAATTCAATAGTACAGCTTTGTTTTACAGTCTTGTCCTTACACATGTGACATATATGTACTATATATCTTATTGCATGTCTCCAAGTCAGATACTAATTTTATAGATTCTAACCCTTTTGCGACCCTTAAATTTATTATATACATACATATGTATGTTAAAGTGATCTCACGGAAGTTCTAATTTTTATTAATTTTACGATCCTTAAGTGTTGGTTACTATATATTTCTGTTCTTGCCAATGTGCATAATGTGAATGTGGGTCTAGAAGTCGAGTACAACGTGCCAAACATAGTAATCCGTGTCCATCATCCTTCATTTTAGTCATTTTTATTTGGGTTATACAGATAAGAACATGTCAAGCATTATTTTTATTAAGTAACCCAATTGACATGTACATAAAATAATATTCGAGTAATATTCTGGACTATTAGAAGTAGCGAAATTTATGATAATGCTTATTATTAAGTAACACTCAAAAATAATGATGCTCACTGTGCGGGTGGAACAACTTTGTGAACTTTTAAATTGATCATATATGATTGATATGAAGTTCCGTTTCTTATTAGTTATGTTTACGAGATTCAAAGTTATATTGTTGATTTCGATGAAAAAAACTCAAGAACCTTTTAAGTTTTGTTCTTCATACGCAAGGGTGAGCATAAAAATTTACTTCATTAGCAATGACTTTACTTTCAAACCAGACTAACTAAAGTTTAACTTTTTTTGCCATTAAGGCTGAGTTCGAGTAAATTGAGGTGAAGTAATAATTAACTAGTTTTTATATAATTTACCCTACTCGTAATTCTGGTAAATACCAACATTCGCTGTCATACCGACATTATTTCTTATTTCCTTCAATTTACCATCAATTTACCATCAATTTACTCGAACTCGCACACCGCCTTAGAAATACAACAACATTTTTAGTTATGAGAAATTACAAATATTAATTATTGCGAGCTTGTTTTATTAGTTTGAACCACTGTAAAGGGTTTGTTATGCTTTGCTTAAAGCTTAGCGTTACTATTAATAGGTTCGGTGAAGAGGGGGAATATTAAGCTGAGTGGTATCCACACAGCAGAATACAACTACGTCGCGTGTTTCTTTTTGTTTTATTTTTTTTTTGTTAGCTTCACAAAGTTTTGGACTTTGCAAGTGAATATGAATATGTATATGTATAGTTGTGTGTGTGTGCATTTGTATATTTTTGTAAGAACTGCCTTTTTGTTGAGTGGCGTTGAAACATGTAAGAAGCAGCAAAATCGAGCAATAGCAGCACATTTTGAAGTCGTTTTATATGTGTGTTGTACGCTGTTGTTGTTGGTTCATTGCCCGCCAAAATTTTTTGAAGGCCAAACCAAAGCAAATTTTTTTTCCATTATTATTATAATTTCGCTTCTAACATGTAAATATGCACAAGTGTGTGTTTTATTATAGAAACTACGAGACACATACATATATAGAAGTGTGTGCGTATATATGTAGATGTATGCACATGGTTCTTGTTGTACTTTTTTGGGGTTTTCCTTTAGCAACACTTGAGCGTACATTTGCTTATTTAATTTTTTTTATTTATATCTACATTTGTTTAAATGTATATTTATATGCGTGCTATTTGTGCAGATATGTATGTATGTGTATTAGGTTCTTTTAATTCATCATACGTTTGAGTTTTGCAATTTACAATTCCACAATTCCATTCTAATGCCGTCTGACGATGTCTGACGGCGTCGCTGGCTGACTATCTGTCAGTCATTGATATTCTTTCTTGAATTTTTTTGTTTTTTGTTTTTTGTTGTCATTTCGCTTTTTAGTATTGCCACACTTGAGTAGTTCTTTATGATTACCATCGATGATGATTGCCTACTAAACGCACTTCACTACTATTTTATGCAAATACTCCAAACAGCCAAACAGCCGAACAGAACAAAATGAAAAAGTAGTCTAGTACTTAGCCTTTACCTTGTCATAAAATAGAATTTTGTTGAATTTTTTCTTTTTCTGGGTCTATATATTCTAAAAAGAAATCATATAGCATAAAAAAAATGAAGAAGTTTTTGAAATGAGTTTACTTTTCCACTTAAACGTAATAAACAACATCCGTAAGTAATAAAAGATATTAGTCTCGAAAAAAAGGTTGTGAGATATGTACTGTAACAGCTTTACATGCGTACGAGTAGATACAAATGCGATATAAACTTCGCTGTTTTTTAACAATTAAATGCTTTTCACTATTTGAGCTCTCTAAAGTACTTGTATCTGCTTAAGTGATGATATTCTCGTGTGCTCGAAACTATTTAGGAATCTATTCCAAATTTTATTGCTGATTTCATCTAAGAATTTTTTCCTGTCTTTTGTATTCTTAATTTGTCACACTTTATTAACTTACAAAAATGCCAATTGAAAAATCGTTAATTGTTCTGTTTATTTTATTCATTGGCAATTTTACAATCAAAAAAATTCTTTTGATTAAGTACATTCACCTCACCTGAGTCAAGAAATATCTGCAAATGCGTAATAAGTATTTAAATATATAAATATTTATTTATTTTTTATATTTCTTACTCAAATAGTTCTGGCAGATATTAATTTGTATATGTGACGCGTGATGTATTCACACGAACAGTGTGGCTTATTTGAAAAGTAATTAACTTTTGGATGGATTCTATTCAAATCATTTTAAAAGAAAAAAAAACTTAAAATATGACTAAAGAACTTTTTATTTAAATTTACTAAATATTTATAAAAAAAATTATAAATTATTTTAAAATTTTATATATCAAAATTTTGAAACTAAGCTTTCTTAACCTTTTTTTAAATTAATATAATTAAATTTTTAATATAATTAAAATAAGTACGTAAAATTATTGTTTAGGTATATATTTCAGGTATTTATAGTTGGTCAAATAATCAGGGAAATTGTTCATTAGTGTCAACTAATGAACGCAGTAATCTTAGGTCAACTGTATCATCGGCCAGTAAATTGGAAAATGCGCGTTAAAATATGCGGCTGCTAACATGTAACAGAACTTAGTAGAGTCTATTAGGAAACTTTAAATTCACAACCCTTACCCTTCAGAAAATGGATTAAAATTTTCCCGAGGTACGAGATACATCGATGATTAAAATCCTTAAGACATCATCCGATACTGTTTGGAGTATGAAGTGCAGTTAGTGACTCTTGCATCGGCTGCAGAGGTAATAAATCTGCGCCGCTCCGTCCCAAGAAAAAACTTTGTATAGCCAACCATATAGCTTCAATTGGTACTAGCGGAATTCCTCAGAATTATAACAGTGGTGTTTATCGGCGCGTTACAGTGATACGTATGTTCAATGCATCGTTGTCTTAACGGCAGTTCATCATGTTGAAAAACTATGGACTCTGTCAAGGAGCTTATTAGTCCACACTTTACAGGAGACTGGTTTGATTCATTACAGGGACCAAATTCGCTCCAACGTTAGCCACGAATGTTGGCGGTGGCTAACACCTAAAGCTACGTAGGAAGAATGTTGGCTTTTATGTTATTATTGAATGTACAATTGCATTCCCCAACCGGAAATGTGACCCAAAGAACAACAGAGGTATTAGGCCTCGTTCCCCTTTAAAGAGGAACTATATCCAAGCGGTGAAAGTCCTTAAAATTCCAATAGCAGTTCAGTATTGTATTATACTAATATATGTGCTAAGTTCACTGGTGTTAAGCCTACACGATAGTCAATCACGTTAAAAAACTATGGGCTTTATACAAGACTATGAACTCATATATAAATTTGAGTGCCTTACAAAAATCATTATGATCTCTTAGCTGTGAAAATTTCTAGGGAGAGTTGGTGTCACAATACGTGCAAAATATTAGTAAAGAGATATAGCAATCAAAATTTGTAAATTAAATGTATTATATATACATTTAATATTAAATGAAATGTACACAAAGTTTGATCAGCTTCGGTGGGTAGGTCATATATGCTGTATGAATGAAGCGGAACCTGTACCGAAAGCTGTCTGCAACACATTTTATGGTATTCCGACTAACTTACGCTGGGTGGATGTGAGTGTAATACATTTTTTATTTTAATTAAGAATTTAAGATAATTTTTAATTAAAATATTAAAAACAAAACTAATAAATGCACAGAAAATAATTGGTTTGTAATATAATTATCTGTGTGAAGGGCATCGGAGCATCGTCAAAGCTAACTTTTTTATTTGTTGAAAATTTTTATTAATAATAATTTTATGAAAAAAAACAATGTTTTATTGGAACTCAAAAAAGATGATATTGCAGATACATTTATTAATAAAATTTCGTAACTAATACAACTTTAACATACCTATTATGTATGTAAATTACATCACATTTCCCATAAGTGTCGACTATCGCCTATTTCGTACCGAGTTGACTATTTTGTTAGAACGCAATATTTGCACAAAAGTCAATAAACTATTTAGTACCTAATTATATGGTCATACTTGAATCAAAAGTATGAAATATATTCATTCTAAGAAACTTAAAACGCCAACGCACAACAATTACGCATTTGTTTGGAAAATATAAAGAACCAAACAATGTCAAGAATTGTTGAAATTCATCAAAATTCAGAAAACTTCGTTAAAATAATAATAGTAGAAATTCCATGGTACAATGGCACCTTTGAGGTTTAATTATATTACATTTCGTTTTGTTTTTATTACTTTACTATTTTTTGTGTATATTTGCTATTTTTACTTAATTTCTAGTGTATGAAGTACAGTAGAAAACATTGAGTTATAACCTTAACCTTAATTATGAGAAAAAAACAACTATCATAAAAGTAAATAATAATATAAACATAAACATAAACATAAACAAGTAAAAGTGTTTCTCTAGTCTTTTTTGTTTATAGCTCATACATACCCTACCCTAATATAATTTTATGTGCTACACTTCAGTACTTTTTCTTGAAAAGAAAAAAGTTGTTGGAGCATAATTTAAACTCAAGAAATTATTAAATAATTTCCTATTAAATCTATTTTTAAACAAGAATAAAATTATTCATTAAAGGGGTATTACATATATGATATATTTTAAAAATAAATTATTTTTATTTATTTACACATTACCTTTATATTATCTTCACTCTGTTGCACGAAAGATACTTTTTGCCACGGCCACTTTGAAGAAAATTTATTTGAATTTTTAATAAGAGTTCAGTAATAAAATTAAAATTAAATTTTTATATGCTTAAATTTTTTTAAATAAATTCGTTTAAAGATACAAGCATAAGTTTTATGAGCAATGAAGAATAATAAACATTATGTAAGAGAAGCCTTTCCTGGTTTCATAGTAAGTGGTTATGAAAAAAGTTCAACCGTGAGCATTTACACGCTATATAAAGGCATTTAATTTATTATTACTGAATACAGCTTTTGTATACAAACTGTAAAAATCTTATAATTACTATTTTAACTTTCTAAGGTAATTTAGAGTTAAATGCAATTAGGCTTATTACATTATAAGGCATCTAGTGCAAATCTGATCAAAAGTAGTTAAACGAAAATATTGAATAGATATAGATAGATATTGAAAAATATTGAAGATATTGAAAATACTTCTACAAGATTTTCTATATAAATATTTTCTTATTTTTATTCCATGTTTTTAGTGTTATTAAGTAACATTTTATTATTATATCATTTTAATTAATTTGCACTACTTTTCTGCTGTTAGATAGCACTTTAGCTTTGTATATTTTGCCATAAAATACATAAAAAGAAAACTGATCAAATATTTAAATGAAGTTGTTTAATAATATAGCACTTAATACGAATCACATATAATACAGCGATGTAACATTTACGTTAATAAATTTTATTATTCGATATATTGTGAAAGTTTGTTTATATTCACATTTAAAAAAAAAAATATACCGTATGGCTTACAATAATAACAGATAATAATTTACTGAATTAATTCAGTCTAAAAAATAGAGATGCCTGGACAATTTCAGTTTAGTACTAATTAGATAATGGATTCTATATACTTACAGCATATATGTATAATAAGACAATTCACGGTCTTACTAGCACAAGGTCTTCGTTTATCTAATTAAACTGGCATTAAGTCTTTTCGTAGTAGTTAAAACGAATTATATGACAACTTCTGGCAGAAATGTCCATCTCGTGAATCACGAAATGGTTGCTAGTGGGTATAATTTCAAATTTGATATCCGATAAGATCATACTAAATCAGACAGTCCTCAGCAGGTAATTGGGAGTTTCCTCTCTCATAAGCTAGCTCACTCATCCCAACTTTATTTCTCTATGGTAATATTTACAAAAACAAGTTCTTCATATAGAAAAAATATAAAATATGCTGGGTACTGGTAGAATGAAACAGAGTACTGTAACCATGGCTTGACTTTTTCGCTTCTAACCGTTCCTAACTGAAAAAAAACATTCCGCCCTTGAAATCAAATCCAGAACATCAATTAGTTTTCGTAAGATCTTTGATTTATGTACTAGTTGGCAACGATTACCACGTCCAATTAATCACAAACTATACGATATCATATTACAACATCGACATTATTCAGTAAATTAATGCACAGCGTACTGCACCTCCAGCGAAAAGGGTGTTTGAGACGGCAAATGAAGAAAGAAGGCGTAGTAAATCATATTTCAGGCATAGTGATCAAAAACCACAAGCCATAACATACATGATATGTAAAATTGTAGAAGACACACACTCAGCAGAGATCCTTAAAGAGGAGTGCTGCGTGAGACTGAAACTATGTTACAGATCGTTATGGCATAATAAATTAAGCAACTAACTTCAATTTAAAATTAGAATTTTAAATTCAAAGATATATCTACTAAAAAAGCTTCACTAGGGCTTCATTAAATCGCTAGGGACCAATAGGTGTATGTATGGGTTAAAGTCAACCAGGTTCTTTCCTAAGTGAGCACTTAGTTCCTACTGTTTACAGGTTTAATATAGGACAAATTTTCTTCTAATTTACTATAGCATAATCTTATTTACTGTCGAGTACATTCTATTTTAATACTGTTCACTGTCTTTCTGTCATCCGTAGACATCTGTAGACTTGATATTGAAATTTGTTTTTTATTATATATCTTTTTCCAGGATAGTCTGTTACTTTTCAATCAAATAATATATTATGGTGCGTACTGGTCGCAGAACTGAACAGAACGACTGTATTAAAATGATTAAGTGTATTTATTACTACTTTTATTAATAGATATTATAAAATATTTATTAGCATTTGTAATGAATAAAATAATAATATTTTTTAATTAATATTTTCTATTAATGAATGTGTCAGCAAATCAAATAGACATTTTTTCTTAGAAAGGATTAATATATAATATAAATTTCTTAATTATTTAAAAATGTAAATAAGCTCATTTATCAAAAATTTTAATGTTAATTTTATAACAATTAATTAACTTCCAAAAATAACTTAATTGTATTTTATTTAGAAAGTTTTTAGCCGCAAAACTGCTTTATTGACAGCACTACCATGTCTTTCCCAATGTAACACATTGGCTTCTCGGCTTGAATTCTCACTCTTCGCTGATTTATTTCATTTTATTTTGATTTGTTAATTTTGATTTGAAATTTTGATTGACAGTGGGTTCGCGCTGTCCATCCGCTCTATGCTCGTTCAATGCTTGATCTATGCTAGCCAAACTATTTTTTATTCATAAATC